AACATTAACCTTTTAGGAATTCTCTCGTTACCAAGCCCAACAACTTTACAAGCCCATTTGATTCGCCTCGATGAAATTACCTCAATTATATTATCCGGATACAGCTCATGCAATTCGGCGTTGTGTAACCGTCTGAACTCTCCGGTTAACTCATCCTTCTTCGGTCCGAATATTCTACGCAATACTTTATTTTCAAAAACCTCAAGACGCCGCTCATCCCTTAATGTAAGCGGCCAAGTTTCGCATCCATAAAGAACTGTAGGCAAGATAATTGTTTTATAGATTCTAATTTTTAAGTTTCGGGACAAGAGGCGCGAACTAAGTAGTTTTGTCACAGAAAAATAACAAGCATTCCCCGCCTTCAGTCTAACCTTAATCTCTTCTTCAATTTCGTTTTTTCTAGTTATTGTAGAACCTAGATACCTAAATTTATCTACCTGTTCAAACATATTACCATCTATATCGATATCACCAGTAGTATCGCCATTTTTGCAGCTAACCATCTATTTTGTTTTATCCACGTTTATTTCGAGTCCTAGTTCTTTACCGGCTTTCATTAACGTTGTCGTATTTAGTTTTATAGTTTCAACGTCTTCGCTTAACAGTACCAGATCATCAGCATAGCCCAGCACGGATGTTGTTCCGCCCAGATCCAACCCTTTCTCGGTTCGCATTACCTCCCTAATGGCATGTTCTAATGCCAAATTGAACAGGACAGGCGAAAGAGAATCCCCCTGTTTTAAGCCCGAACGAACCTCAAATTTTTCGGACAAATTATTACCGATTCTAACTTTATTGAGTGTCTCGGTCAAGCACATCCTGACTAGATTTACTAGTTTTTTTGGAATTCCCTGCTCGATTAGAATATTATACATTTTCTGGCGGTCAATAGAATCGTAAGCCTTTTTAAAATCTATATACAGCTGGTGAACAATACCGTTATACTCCAATTTTTTCTCTAATATTTGCCGTAAAGAAAATATTTGATCAATTGTCGAACGATAGCGTCTAAATCCGCATTGGTAGTCTCCGATAATTTCCTCGGCGTATTCCGTGATTCGACTGGTTAAGATTGAAGTGAATATTTTATAACATACCGGAAGGAGTGAAATTCCTCGATAGTTACTACAATCTGTCCTCGGGCCCTTTTTGTGAATCGGAATAAGAATAGATTCTTTCCATTCTTCAGGTAATTTCTCGTTCACCCAGATCTTTTTAACCAACCGATGTATTTTAGAAACTCCAGCTTCCCCGCATGCCTTAATTAGTTCAGTAGGAATATTATCGATTCCCGCTGCTTTATATGATTTTAATTTTCCGATAGCTACTTCAACTTCCTCTTTACTTGGTCCTTCTATTAACGGTTCAGCACTCTGGTACTCAGAAGGAGGACACAGATCATAATTTCCCGTATTTAAAATATTGTCAAAGTGGTCCTTAAATTTATTCAATATGTCATATGGATCGGTCAGAATATTGTTATTATCATCCCTAATTCCAGACGTTACGGGCCCTACATATTTACGTGATCTGTTTATACCTTTGTACATATGTTTATAAGCATATGTTTATAACCTTAAATATATTCACAGTAGTTTAATAACTCTGGATCTGATATTTGTTTAAATGATTAGATATCAACGTCCGTTTATTCCGAAAAATTGTCGTGTAACCTTTTTAAAAATTAAATTAGTAAATAATTTTATGAATTTTCCTTTTGTGAAATCCAAACATTATTCACTTAAAATTAGTGGAAAAACTTTTGACCTGCCTATGGCAATGAAAACATCTTAATTTTTTTTAGTAACCTTTATAATAGAAAATAACAGATTAATAACTAATAGATGTACAATCCATAATCGTTTCATAGGTGGAATATAGAGATATACTTTAAAATCTCTCTAGGTATATATATATATATATATATATATATATATATATATATATAGAATGAATATATGTAGAATATATATAGAGACTGAAGTTATATGGTTTGCAAAAACAGATAGAGTACTGCGGTTTTTATTGTCTACTGTTAGTATAATTAATTGGATTTTTGTTATTTTAATGGTGTTATTGATTTGTTAGTTGTAAAATTTAAGCTATAGATTAGCTAAAAGTGCACTTCCAAAATTTTATAATTGCTCAACATTGCCAGAAAATAATTTCTATTCAAAGTAGAAAGGTAAGTGAAAGTTGTGTTTTGCGCGCACCAGATTTTTTTACCCAGTTTATTGAACTAGATACTCAATGATAGTCAGTATTTATTAATGAAGCGATGATTTAGTTAACATAATTTTAAACAATAAGGGAATTACTAAAACTGAATCTTTCTTCACTACCAAAAGAATAGGTTTTCGTACGAGTGATTAAAAAATCTCTCTTTATTATGTACAAAAGATTTCAGTGACTTTCATATTTTATTTTATTATTAGGATAGCAGGAGATAAAAGGATCACGGCGATTAGTTTACAAATGATACAGCTGTTAATTCAATTATATTTGTGTCGAGCTTATGTTACCTCTTACTCTCCTTATACTAAATAAAGATTTTATACAAAATACTTGTACGGGAAATATTTTTTTATATGTTGATAGAAAATTTGTATAATGTTGATAAAAACTAATACAATCTGAACTACAGAATACTTGCAAATTACAGTTGTGTAACTGTAATTTGAGCGAGGAGTAGTACAATCATATAAGAACAGTTATTTATAAAACGGAGGTTGGTCCACCGTTAGTCGGACAGCGGGTACTCTCCTAGTTTGCGAAAAATTTATAAGTAAGAATTACTCAACACGTTCAGGGCATATTACCTACAATCACTATCCTTTAATTTTGTCATTGAAATTTTCAAAGATTGAGCACGTTTATATCTAAATTTCTAATTATTAATTTCATCAAATACGATGAAGTTTTTATTATATGCAGGCGTCTTTTCTTCGACAAGCGTATTTACGTTAGATATAGCTCGGAATCGGAGAATAGTTGAAGATTAGTAATAAAGTTTCTTTTAGTTTCATCATATTTCATTCACTATGCTCAAACGTATTTTCCTTGATACGTCTACATTTAAAAAAAGCCTCTTTATCTTTGCTGAAAGTTGGGTGGAATTTGAGGAATACAAATAGTCTTGTATACATTTCATCAAATTCTTTAAAATTGAATAGAATATTCTTAACAATTAGATGTTAAGAATGTTATATGGAAAGCGAAATTGAATAAGTTTTGCACTATATACCTTATTTGTAATCGAATCCATTGGACGGGCATAACACTTATTGCCATAAATTCTATTTGATGGAATTTCCTGGGATTGTAAGTGTTGATATCTAGATGGCCCAATACATATCTTATCGAATTCCGCCCACTTTCGCTTAGGCGTGCATTTTTCCTTGGCTGGGTCGTACATCAAAAACGGCTTCTGCTGCAGATTTTATTCTAAAACGGCCAAACATCCACCTTGAAATCTGTAACCCGGAGAAAAAGAACATCATTTCCATTTTTGTTTATGTTTAGGGGATACGACGTATTATAGTTTTTTCCTTAGGTACTAAATCTGTATTCCGGAGATAAAGTATACTCTATCACATGTTTGTGTTCGTTAAAGGAAATAATTATCCATGACTTTGAGTTATTAAAATTTGTTTCTTAGTTAGACTTTTAACTCTGGCATTAATCCCCCGCCCTGCTTTAGACGGTAAGTTACTAAATTATTTAACAAAATAAAAAGGTTATAGTATCCTTTATATTCCCCAAGTGAGAATGTTGTTTTTTTTCCCTAACCTCTGACAACTATCTTAAGATTGCCGCTGTGTACTTACCAGAGTAGGACTGGCGAGATTCATTTACCGTGCCCGGCGAGAAATAAATAAAAATAAATAACCGACTCAGGTGGGAATCGACTCACAACGTTCAGAATCTTGCACTGTGGGACACATGCTCCAACGTCTTCAAGAGCTCAGTGTTAAGATAATATATAATGTTATTAATATTCATCATAACATCTAGAATATTTTTTATGATAAAATATTTACCAAGTCACCATAATTAGAGGAAAATAGAGTCATTAAAATAACTTTGACATTACTAAAAAAGAGGAGGAACTTAATAATAATATGGTAGTATTATAATTATATTTTGTCTTCAGCGCTCCATAGAGCTTAAACGATAGTACTATTTATTATTCTTATTTTATAGAGAAAAATAAAGATTAATCTTGCTTTTAATAATCCAATTTTCACCAATATATTTTACTGATAGAGGGTTGTAAATTATTTCAGTTTTTCATCGATTTAATGTAGTTTTAGTTTCATTTAATTCCTTAGCAAAGATTAAATGACTTGGTATATTATTGAGCATTGTATTTTACTTGAACGTCAGACAATCAGAATATGGTACTAGCCATCTGACCTTAGTACTATAGTACTAGCAACTGAACCTCATGTTCTTGAAATGTTTGTTACCAAACATATTCGGTAGCCGAAGGAAAATTATCGAGTTCAGAAAGAAATGTATTTCACCATATTGTATTAGAAGCCAAAAACCCTTTATATTTTGCAAGAGCTAGAAAGCAGATTTAAGAAGGAACAGCGGAGCTAAGAAAATAATTAATGTTTTGGGCTCTAGACCAGGTTTGATAAATGATTGTAGAAGCTGAAGCCGGTTAGTGGATCTACTCCCACACTCAACGAGGAGTGTACATATCATTTAACTTCTGGCTAGTGTTATAATCTAGCAATTATTAATTTAACCATGCCTTCCAGCAGAAAATTCATAAATGATTAATTTCCAGTTAATAATTAAGTTTAGTTATTATGTTTATGTAAAATAAAATAATTTAATAGACTGTTATTTCGTTTAAATATATGTGTGTTACATTGTATTATTTTTTAATTTAATCAGTATTTTCATGGAGTTTATTAATTACGAAACACAAACTATATATATTACAGAAATAGTTATTGCATAACTTGTAACCGACATAATCCAGGCTGAAATAATTTAAAATCTGAATTTCTCAGTAATAGAGAAATAATATTAAGTAGCACCAGAACAGAATAGAAGATAAAAGGAGGAACACAATACACAAGTTAATTTTTTTATATTTATTTTTTTAATTTAAAGTAACAAACACTTGTCATGCCGGTGTATTCAGTAAATACTTATTCACCACGTTAACAATCACAGATGAGTCCAAAGTCTTATACTAAAGTCAGGCAGTTATACAGTCCATAGTCCGTTGTAGTTACGTTTGAATTATTTTTATGTGGCACATCAATAACAGGTACTTGTCATGTTCCATCAGTTCTGAAGAGTCAATTAATAATGGTAGGTAGCACCAAGGGTGGAGAAGGAGGTGTGAGCGATGGCTGGGGCAGCGGCGTAGGAGGCATAGCCAAGACCGGCAGCGTAAGCTGGGGCAGCGGCGTAGGAAGCCCTGAGGGCAAGTGGGGCGGAGTAGCTCCTGACAGTGGGGGCGGTGTAGCCGACGCTGAGGGCTGGAGCATGAGCGGCGTAGGACAGACCAGCGGCATATCCAAGACCGGAACCGTAGCTCAGGCCGGTGTATCCGTTACCGTGGTAGGAGGAAGACCTGGCAACAGAGTAAGCTGGGGCAGCAACAGAGACAGCTGGGGCAGCAGCGTATCCGACAGCGGCACCGGTGTATCCGTTACCGTGGTAAGAGGAAGACCTGGCATAAGCTGGAGCAGCAGCGATAGCGACAGCTGGGGCGGCAGCGATGGCTGGGGCAGCAGAGGTGTAGCTGATGGAGGAAACAGCTGGGGCAGCGGAGTAGCTGAAAGCTGGGGCAGCAGAGTACCTGACAGCGGCACCGGTGTATCCGTTACCGTGGTAGGAGGAAGACCTGGCAATGGCTGGGGCAGCAGCGACAGCGACAGCTGGAGCAGCAACGGAGACAGCTGGAGCAGCAGAGGTATAGCTGATGGAGGAGACAGCTGGAGCAGCGGAGTACCTGATAGCTGGGGCAGCTACAGAGACGGCTGGAGCAGCAGCGTACCTGACAGCGGCACCGGTGTATCCGTTACCGTGGTAGGAGGAAGACCTGGCGATGGCTGGGGCAGCAGCGACAGCGACGGCTGGGGCGGCAGCAATGGCTGGGGCAGCAGCTGTGTAGCTGATGGATGAAACAGCTGGGGCAGCAGAGTACCTGATAGCGGGAGCAGCGACGGAAACAGCTGGAGCAGCAGCATACCTGACAGCGGCGGAGTATCCAAGACCAGCGGCGTAGCTACCGGTGTATCCGTTACCGTGGTAAGAGGAGGACCTAGCGTAGGCTGGAGCAGCAACAGATACAGCTGGAGCAGCAACGGAGACGGCTGGGGCAGCAGAGGTATAGCTGATGGAGGAGACAGCTGGAGCAGCGGAGTACCTGATAGCTGGAGCAGCAGCTACGGAGACGGCTGGGGCAGCGTATCTCAGAGCAGCACCGGCGGCGTATCCAAGACCAGCAGCATAACCAAGACCGGTGTATCCATGGTAGGAGGAAGATCTAGCGATAGCTGGAGCAGCGACGGAGACGGCTGGGGCAGCAGCATAGCTGATAGCTGGAGCAGCAGAGTACCTGATAGCTGGGGCAGCTACAGATACAGCTGGAGCGGCAGCTACAGAGATAGCTGGAGCAGCGGCTACGTGGGCGACGGCGGGAGCAGCAGCGATGACTCCGCTGGAACCACGGGTGATGGAGGCGGAAGAGAAGCTGCTACCGGTCTGGACATTGCTGTTGTACTGGGAGTAGGAGTTGCCGGCCAAGCTGCGGTCGCTGAGCTCAGAGGTTGAGCCGAGGGAGCCATCGAGCACTCCTACTGCACCGGAGGCGGTCTGGAAGTGGTGTGGGCCGCCGGCATGAGCCAGAGCCACCAAACTGAGGAGAGCAAATACCTGCCAACAAATACCAAAGTTTAACAGTGCAAAACTAAACCAGCCACTTTCTTTACATATTCTCAGGGTTTAATTATTTAAATGTTCCATTTAGTGGTCCAACTTTGTTGTCTTTTTTTTTTTTTTTTTTTTTTTCCTACCCCCCCGGAATTTCTTGAATAAATTCAGTATGTATATAAATGTATATATACATAAATTTTCAACTTTCCTTTTATTGCCCAAGGGCATTTTAAGTTAAGAGGGCTCTACACGCTGTATGCGTTCTTTGCATCTGTGGCCAAAGGCCTTTTATTATACCATTTTATTCTTTGTTGTCAAAAACATGATGACAGTAAATAAAAGCCAGATAAACACATTACACGAGAGTATAAATTTAGTGAGTTTTTATTTTACCTAACTCTAGCCAATTCAAATTTTCCATGATTTGTATTAAAAACAAACAAAAATATTAACTTTTACATTATCTAAGAAAAAAATATTATAATTCTGGAAAAAAAAACAGAAATACCAGTAAGCCTTGAACTTTACGCCTTAGGATTTAGAGCATCTTGACAACTGTTTCTTTTCGCTCGATTCCCTTCTATTTATTTCAATTATTAATAAAGGTTTTCGGTGTTGAATATTTTAATCCATATTTTTTTTCCATACATCCCAGGATATGTAAAATAAGTCAAAACATGGCCAATACAATACGTTTACATTACAATAATGTTGAAAACTAATTTGAGTACATGAAAACTAAAATAACTTTTAAAAGATAACTGTAAAACATTTTATCCGAAACAACACCGTAATTTACTATCTTTACCTAGGAAACTCCCATGGGTCCTTTTCGGATTCGGTAAGGATTCGCATTGCAAGGCGATTGATGTTTTCAGTGTCGTAGTAAAAATCGGTAACTTGTGATATCATTAGCAAATAATTATGAAATTTTTTTCGTAAAATTCCTGACAATCATTTTAGTTACCATCCTATATGGGTTAGGACATAGAATTTATTTAATCTTATATATAGATAAATTATTTTATTATACCCATCGAAGAATTTAATCTATTTCAGTTTAAGATACGTTATGGTTTATATGATTTTTCTTTGTAAGAATGCAACTAAGCAAACGTTTAAATTTTAAATTAATTTTAACTAAATAAAATAGTTCACAGCGATAAGTTATAATTAATAAAGGGAAAAAAAAAATCTTTTCTCGTTCAACTATGTTAATTATTGTTTAATGTCACCGGTTTGAATTGGTAAGATCAGGGAGAAAAGCAATGTTATTGATTGGATTTTTTTCTCTTAGTTTTATTATTAAAATACTTAAATTATATAATAATAACGGTTTATGACTTCCACTGATGTTATATTTTCCTTTGAAATGCTTATCCAATATTGTATTTAAATAGAAAAGAGTTAAAAACTTTTATAATAATTTTTTTTAAAATGAATAAAGTTGGTATTGACACTATAAATATTATTTTGTAAAATAAAATAAATTTACTTATTTATTAATTTTAAATTAAAAATGATTAATTTTTAGATACATTTTTTTTTAATTATAATTTTTTTTCTCCGAAATATAGCCGATGTCGCTGGCCCCTACCGGTACATTTTACTGATACCAGAAGAAGTACTCACCTTAAACGCCATTGTTGCCGAAGATGGACTGTCTGTGCTGGAGCTAGGGCAACGGGAGGTATATATACTTAGGACGGGGTTGCACAAGGACTCCCCACATGACCCCCTCCCCGTCCAAGCCGGCCGATTTGGCAACTTGGGAAGGTCGTCCGGAAAACTTAACGGCGTTTTTGGGGATCATCTTTGACATCTACAGTTCCGTGTCGAAAATCCTTTATAATTTAAATGATATTGTCAGACTAAATACAAGAATAAAAAAAATAAAAATCTACACCTTACTAGTTCATGAACAAAGATAATATAAATTTCCAGCTACCGATTTCATTTCAACATCTGGCAATCATTTCATTTTGAATGATATATTCCTAATCTGTTACATTATCAATATATATTATTTTCTAATATTCCTATATTAGTTGGCCGGTGCGAATAATTCGAACAGTACATTGTAGGCCTGAACAAAAAATAAGTAAGGAACCTTATCATCATTGACAAATTTTCAAGAAACACCAAAAACGGTAACTATTTTCTTTTCCAATTGCAATATCAAAACAGATATCTTTAAAATAACAAATTAAGAAATTCTATATTTTTTTCAGAAATTACCATAAATCCCTGATTTTTTTAATAGTAATTAAAGTGCATTGAAACTTAATTAATGCCGGTTTTGGAACGAATTAAACTTCGAACATGGTTTCAAACAGAAAAAAAGGTTAATTGGTATTCGGTTTTGGGAGATAAAATTTTGTATGATTTTAGTAGAAAAAAATTGTACAATAAAAATTCAACTTATATACTTATATCAAAAAATTGTTTAACAAAATACATTTATTTAAAAATTTTTATTCGAGTAAAAAGATTTAAAAAAGCTTGCGATGAATTGTTTCTAGTCCTTAAGAAACACATGCTTTATTAAAATAAAAAAGGAATTATTATGGTTTTAAGAATAAACTTATTTTTGTACAACTTATTTTATTATTTAATTTTCTCTTTAAAAAACAAAACAAATAATAGCAGCGTTCATTTTTTTTTACATAGAAATCGACATGTATCTCGATTTCCGAGGACATCGAATAGAGTTCACTTTGGAAATAAACGACTCATTTTTTACATTTTTTTAAATGGTAAACTTTCGATCTATTTTTTTTTTTTTTTTTTAATTTTGTTGGAGATTCGGAAACTTTTCTAATAATGAGAGATATAGTCAACCAAAAATTGTATATTTTTTGAGTTACGTGCAAAAAAATTAATTTTCTTCATAATTTATTTTGCTTAATGCGCTTATTTTAAACAACTGAAGGAGATCATGAACATGAAAATGATGGCACATCATTGGACACGATGAAGAATTAACGATGATATGGCGTACCGATAAACAACAGCTTTTAGAAATAAGTAGCTTATTTCCAAAGTAAATCTTCATATTATCACTGCCGAATTTTCGAGAAACGCAAAAAACTATTTGTAAACAATTTCTAAACTAGAAATTGTATATTTTTTGCACATACTTAAATTTAACTGTTTATTTAAAATAATGGCTACAATTAATCATTTCATTAATTATTTGTCTGGATTGGGAGACTTTATTCACAAGAGGTGGAAATATCAACCACACAAATTGTAAGTAAATTTTAATTATTATTGTTAAAAATTTCTAATAGACTTCAAGATGACAGAATTTTACACATATATTTTTTTATAAACTGGAGGTGAATCTCAGATTACACTGAAAAATGACAGCAAACCACCTTAATATGGTCTTAAATCTTATTTAACATGGAAGTTTTCCTATCAGCGGGAATATTCAGTCCTATAGATTTACAAAAAAAAAAAAAGGTTTCGAAAAACCGAACTTAACTCGTATAACCAAATTACAAAAGTTCACCAAAATTTTATGTATCATCCAAATTCCCTTGCACATTCTCTATAATTCCCCGCTAACCCCATCCATCCCTATAATTCTCCAAGAAGGTTAAAATGGCAGTGATCTCTTGTTGTGAACTTTTGTAGTAAGAATTGGTATACACATAAAATTATATATGATACTCGTTGTATATGAAATATATATGAGTGTCTCTGCTACGGGGTCAATTTAGCAGTGAGGCACATTTTGACTGAATGTTATGCATATGAAGAACAACGAAATGAAGTTAAATTGGAGATTGATACTACTGCAAATTTGCTAAACACCAATAAAATGGCAAAACAATTTTTTACATTCCTTAAAATAACGCACCTTTTAAACAAAATTTAAATTTTGCTCTTTTTTGGAAATTTCAATGTTTTAAATATTGTGTACTTTCAATTTATTGTAAAATTTCATTTGATATAACATAAATAATAATAATTTGTTTTAAGGACTAAAATGACCCGTATGAGGCTGAGGAGCCCGCCACTGTTATAAATAAATATATGAAATCCACACTTACCAAAAGTTCCTCTTAAACGATTGCTAAGCAAAATAAAACATTGTATTCGTGCGGGAGGTTACAAAAAATTTGTCCTCTGAATCGATAATTTCCATTCGCGTTTTACGTTTCAGACATCAATGATGAAATTTGGTTATGTATGTGGACGGATATGTCATCTAGTAACGTTCATCCGATTTTCATAAAACTTTCCGGTATTATGCGGGTTGGTGCCTAGATGATCCTAACCTTGAAGAATGGTTTCAAAACTGGAGGATCAAAATAAATTCCAATAAATCCCATCAAATCACGTTTACCCTTCGTCGTAAACCTATGTCCTCTTGTCCTACAGTATCCTTTAATAATACCCCACTTATCCCTGTTGAACAAATTCGATACCTTGGACTCCACTTAGACAGACGTCTAACTTGGAATCCTCATACCAGACTGAAACGACAAGAAACAGCTCGACGTTTCCGACTACTCCAGCACTTACTAGACAAACGCTCTAAGCTCCCAGTCAATTACAAAAGACTCATATACATGACTACAATAAGACCTATTTGGACTTACGGAATTGAGCTCTGGGGCTCCACTAAGCCATCGAATTCCTCTCGCATCCAATCCTTACAATCCAAAATCCTTCGTAAAATCCTCACAGCTCCTTACTTTGTCACAAACAAAATCATCCATAACGACCTTAATGTTCCTTATGTTTCTGACCTGGCCCAATCCAGATACCTTTCCTTCCATAATAAACTTCAGAACCATCCTAACCCTCTCGTTTCTAACCTTGCTTCCTTTTCGATACCTGACAACCCTCCGAGGCGTCTGAAAAGAAGATGGCCTCGAGATCTCCTTTTGTAAATACATTTTTAGAGTGCTACCAGTGGGTACTTTCTCACCAAATGATTTCATGTTATTATATTCTATTGTACACATTTACTGAATGTATTTTTACTTGTAATACAGTTGTAAATATCATTAATAAATAAATAAAAAAAAAAAAAAATAATGTATAACGGCTTCTCTCATACAAAAAATGTTAGACCTTGTAATATAAATATTTTTATAACCAATGTAAACGGTAAGAAAGTTGTACTGACCTTACTTAGAAGACGTTTTATGGTATATTTTTGTTTAGGCTTTTAGTTTATTCCATCTTCTGCTACCACCAAAATAATGTAAATATGTTAACTTTTATTTCCCTTTGGCAATAATTTGATCAAATGTATGTGACAACTGAATTGTTTTATTTAACATTTTTCAATAAAGTTAATAAAATTTTACTGTGTATCAACAGATTTTTTGAAGGGACATAGACTACCACCCCTTTTGCTTAAACAGTCGATTTTGTAGAATCTCCACTTCCGGCTCATCTAACACCGTAAAGAAAAGAGTTGATTTTATTTTAAACTTAAAATATAAAATAATCTATAATTAATTATGTTTGCTTTAAAAATCTACTGCTGCAGACAATGATGTATTGCTAGTTTTCTGAATATCGAAATGAAACCATTACATCAAAAAATATAATAGTATGAAGTTGTACATTCAAAAAGCGGTCTTGCTGTGAGTCCTCCATATAATATCAATTGAGGTAATCGAGTTTGAAACATCTGCCAGTTTGTTATTTTTGGTAATACACTAAAATGGAGTGGAATGTGTGATGACAAATTCTCTTTGGAAATTAAATTTTAAAAGATTTCGTGCTTTGCATTTTTCCGATATAGCGCACAGGTTATTAACAAGCATTCAACAAAACTGGTCTCATTTTTGATGAGAAATAAAGTGCTTGGTTATCTATTCACAAAAGGTCAGCTAAATCGATAAAAGGGTAAAGAACGCAAAATATAATAAGTATAAATTATTGGAATTTCTTGAATTTAGGACAGGACACATTGAGTTTACGAAGTGTTTTTGGTTGTAAGTATAACATATGAAATATATAAGAAATATATTTCAAGGCTCAAAGTTATTGAACATCGGCTGCTATGAACAAATACATCAATGTACATGGTGTTTTTTACCTCTGGAGTACATATATATAGTCTTCTTAATCTATGAAACTAATTTCCAGAATGTGACCTCGAGTGCTATTATTATGCCTATTGGAATTTTTTCATCTTACTTATGTATTTAAAATTATTTTATGTTCTGGTAATAGATTAATAATGATCGTGCCAAACTAATTATTATGTCTTAATGGAGAAAGTGCAATAAACTGTAGATTAAGGAACTAAACAAGTTTGATAAAGACAAACAAGGAAATAATGGTTGAAAATTAAAATATAATGATTGCAAATAAAGTGAAGGAATGTATACAAAGAATACACAATATACTTATATAGAGAATATAATTAACAATTAATGCTGATGATGAGCAATTAATAGTGATAGTTTTAATAATTATTTCAGCAATATGGTAGCCCCATTTAATAAATAATATTGTTGTTGTTAATATAGAATATTAAATCCTATCAACTGTTTGCAGCATGTCAGTAAGAGCTCCACAGTTACAGGCACATTGCACTGTTCACGGATTGATCTAGATGTTCCAGTCGGCAAATCTTGAGGGGTGAATCGTGTGTGCCTAATTTGGATTATTGTCTGTACGTC